TTGATTCGGCACCGATTGTCACCGCCGTTGCATATTTCTGCCAATCTATGTTCCTTGTGAGATCAAATGGAACACGAGATGGTTCTGCAGAGTGAGGGGCAGACTTAATTGAAATTATGATTGGCAAATGTTCGCTACCATGGGGATCATTGATAACCTTCCACAGAAAATCCAATGATAGCGATCTTGAACACAAAGATAGGTCGAGTCGGCTTTCTCGAGCCGGAGGTTTTGCTATACGTGTCGCTTCACCAGTGTTCAAAATAGTCAAGTTGAAATCGTCGCATGAATCGTAAAAAATAGCCGCTCTATTGTCATCGTATAGATTGCCCCACCCAGTACCATGGGAATTCATATCACCTAGAATTAATACTGGGGATGGAAGAATCGAAACTAGATTCCAGAGTTGACTACGGCTAATGGAGGTTCTTGGTGGAACATAAACTGAAGCTATGCAAAGGTCTTTGTTCTTCACATTTATTTGGCAAGCGACGATTTTGACGCCTTATAGAGCAGGAAGGGAAATTTTGTAGAAAGGGTAGCACTTTTTGATCCCTAAAAGTACTCCACCATAAGAATCGTCTCTATCCAGACGTATAATATTAAAATCGTGTAAGTTTAGTTCTTTATCGGAATAAAGCCATGTTTCACAGAGAGCAACTATATCACAATCAGAATTGTGAAATAAAAATTTGAACGAGTCTAGTTTAGGCACTAGGCAGTTCCACTGTAGCACAGTGATCATATTTTCAACCTCGTTCGACGAATTATCCATCGAAAGATATGATTGATGCAAGGAGAGGCCATGAAACAGTCAATTGTTTAAGATATGATTCTAATGTTGGAAGCAAGGCAGAAACTAAGCTTCTAAGAGAGTCTTGTATGTTGAACATGTTTAATATGAATTCCACAATGTCCGGAAAAGCTAGCAAACCTCGTTCGGACTTGGATTTCTTTTGAGAAGTTTGAGGAGCAGCTTTATTATTTTTCTTATCTTTTTTGGGCAATGGTGGAAAATTCCTGCTGCATCCAGGGATTGGTTCAGCAAGAGCCTTCGGTTTCGTTTTTTCATCCCCATTACCCTGGGAATTTTCCAATCTTCTGGAGGTGACTTTAGTTTTCTTACGGCGCACTTTCGGGGAGGGGCATTTTCTTTTTGTGGATCCGTACATTTTTGAAGGTGTGTGTACCACCGTAGAATCACCTTTATCGGATGAGTCAGAGTTCGATTCTTCAGCTGACAAAATCGAAAATTGGTTTGCGTTTTGGACGGCTGATGCAGCCTTCAGCATTTGAGCATATGTCTGCTTGGAGCGTCCTGTCGAAATTTCGAGAGTTTTCAAAGGTTTATTTTTAGGCCGAAAAACGACAACCCATGGTCCTTTTGAAAGTGGTTGGTAATACCTGGTTCGCGCAACGTTGGCATCGGAAGATGCCATAAGTGTTGCGCAAAAGCGGTGCGCAACCGCTTAAGAAGGAAAAACTAAAAACCCTCTCGAATTGAATAATTTTAATTACTATTATTTTTTTTTTGCACGGCGTACAAGCAAATTGAAGAGAAAAAAAAAACGAAAAAAAAAAACTTATATAAAGTTGCAACACGTTGTCTCACTATGAACCATACTCCCTTACCAGGGGTAAGAGACAGAGCCACGCGCCACGAGGCAAAACAAAACCACAATATGGAGGCAATGGACTTGCAAAATGTATTGTACTATACTTATGCCGGTTGTGTAAACAACCTATCAGTCGGTGCAGCTAGGTATTCCGTTTGCTGCTGCTACTATTGCTGCTATTGACGGAGATGGTGCGATGATGATGGTGATGACTTTATGATGATCGATCACTGGGACAGTCTATACGTAAGACTCAGCTTACGATAGCTGCTTCCGAAAACCGTGCGCGATTCACCTGAACACTTTTTTAATACACGGCAAATGAGAACAACCCAAATTTGAGTTTGGTTCACTCATAATCGCCAAAAGTGCAGGAACTCAGCGATGTGTAAAATTTGTCTCATGTTTTCCCAGGTTTTTCCAGGATTTTCCAGGGAAAAATTCCCGAATTTGAGAAAAGTAATGATTGGATTCACTCAGTCTATTGGTACTACTCCGAGACTGAACAAAATTTTCGTCAATTTCCTCATTTTCCTTCAGATTTTTTTAGGTTTTCCACAGGAAACAAATTTACTCATCGCTGAGTTCCTGCGCTTTTGGCGATTAGTTATGAGTGAACTAAACTCAAATTTGGGTCGTTCTCATTCGCCGTGTACGAGAGCGATGGAAACGCGGTAAAAAAAACGAGTATTGCATGAAGATACCAGGACGCTGTTAACTGGCTCAGCGCTCGATTCGGTGTGGGGCTGCTTTATTTATTTTATATGTTTTTTTTTTGTTTTATTAATGATTTTGTTCGCGAGAAAATGTCCAGCTGCACTCGTGACGTTGGCCAATCGTGATATTGTCACGACACAACACTACTGGTAAACCGAGAGAAAAAAAACCAGGCGGAATAAAACCAACAATTGCACTGCCAAAAAAAACGGCCGTATCTTCTACTTTCGGATTGACCGGCAAGAGAACGATATGGAACGATGCGTTCGATTTCAAAGCTTTTATTGAACTGGTTTGTGTTGTGTATTGTTTTTAATAGAATGCGATCAAAACAATCTGTAGGTAGAGTTTCCGTTTTCTGTCTCTTTTCGTGTTTGGGTTGTGTGTGTTCGTGAGTGGCTGAGTGACGTCTAATTCAAGGTAGATGTATCGGGTAAGGTAAGTACAATTTCGATTTCAATGTGTATAATTTTAATTTCATATAATTTTATCTAATTTCAGGTTCACCGTTAACATGCTGGCCGCCGTTGAAACCGTCCGTTTCAACCATCATCAGCACATTCTTCGATGCGAAGTTGAGCTAGGCATGAGCTAGCTCCTGCGTTGTCTTCGTCGGGATCTATCGGAAGGATAGCGATCTCGGTAATCGCCCGTTTGTACTGCCCGGAACCGGTCTTGACCACGACCACCCGGACTCTTTCATCCTTCCCTGCCACTGTTTCGATGATCCGCCCCAACGGCCATTGGAGTGGTGGTGCGGATGTCGGATTGGGACTGCTTCCACTTCGTTCGCTGCTGGAGTTGACTGACATAATCCAGCTGCCAGCAACGCCAAAGGTCTTGGACCGACCGCTTCATCTCTTGGAGGAGCGACAACCGATTCGGGTTTACGTCGATCAAGTTGGGCTCCAGGATTGCCACGAGAGGTTCGCCGACGAGGAAGTGACCAGGAGTCAGAGCGGAACAATCGTCAGGCGAATCTGTAAGCGGAGAAAGAGGACGGGAATTGAGCACCGATTCAATCTGGGCAACGACTGTCTGGAGCTAGTCTACGGTGAAGGAGCGGTTACCCATGATGCGCCGGAAGTGGTGCTTGAAGGATTTTATTCCGGCTTCCCAGATACCGCCGAAATGCGGTGAACGGGCCGGGATGAAGCGAAACTTGATTCCGCTTTCCAGGCAAAAGTTCTCCCAGTCCTCGGATTTGAATTGACGACGGAACTCCTCTCGCATCGTATGAAGTTCTCGGTCTGCCCCGACGAAGGCAGTCGCGTTGTCGCAGTGTAATTCAAGCACTCGCCCGCGACGAGCTACGAATCGCTTGACGACGTTTATGCAGGCGACGGGACGACAGTTCGGCGACGACTTCGAGATGCACGGCCTTCACCACGAGGCACACGAATAGCCCGACGTACACTTTAACCACAAACGAATTGACAGACGACTTACTGGCGAAGAAATCAATTAAATAATGTGGTTCACTGTAATTGAATTTTCTTGGAAGCTTGTGCCATCATCCACCAGATGGGATAGTTTTTTTTGTTTTGATTTGAACAAAGTTGATTTTGTGTACAATGATTCTTTGACAGTGTGCAAAGAGTGCGTATCATTTTGTCATTTTTTTATGCATTTCAGTTTTGAGTAGAGTGAAAGAGATAGAACCAAAATATTCTAGTACATTTGGTGAAAATGCTAGTTCAATCCAATAGTAGTGTTGCCATGTGGTACAATCCAGTAGTACTGGTGTTGCCATGTGGTACACTGAAAAATTGCAATAGAAGGTTAGTCACCAAAGTTTTCGAGCCGCTCCGTCTGTCACTTCGTTTGTGCTTTAACCGACGCGCCCCGACCACTTAACGGACGTACGAGAAACGGCCCACAGTAATCCATCCCAGAGTGTATGAACGGTCTGGCAGGTGATACGCGAACGGACGGTAGCGGAGCCATGATCTGCTGTGCTACCCGTGGTTTACATTGGAAACAGGTTACGCATCGGCGTACCACCTTGCGTACTAGTTGCCGACCCCGGACTGGCCAAAATCGCTGGCGAACAGTAGCGAGTGTGAGTGTAGGACCACCGTGAAGTGTTCGGACGTGGCTGGACCTTGCGATGAGCCAACTGAGTTGATGGTCAGCTGGAAGTAATATCGGGAAACGAGTGTCGTACGGTGCTCTCATGTTGGCTAGTCTTCCGTTGAGCCTGAGCAAGCCGAACTGGTCAATGAACAGCTTCATGTCCTTGAGTGGTGATTTCGACGGGGATATTGCTGCAGCGGATCGTGCATCTTGCAGGCGAGGAAAGTAACAAACTTCAGCCGGGAAGGACGCTAGTTGAACTTCTCGCACTAGAATCTTGAGCGCATGTTCACCTTTCTCTGGTGTTAGTGAACCGATAGTGCGTTCGCTCCGGGGGAGCCTTGCGTTGCTGAAAAATCGGTAGCATCGTGCTACGACGCGTACTAGCTTGGCTAGGTCCGAGAGTCGTTCGAACAGTGATGAATCGACGGTTGTGGTATGCAGAACGATGTTTGGGCAGGCTTCTTGTTGCAAATCGGAAGTGTCCGCCGTCGAAAACGCATACTCGGGCCAATTGTCAACGGGGGCTTTGAGAAAACTCGGTCCATGCCACCACAAATCGTCCTTCGAGATCTGGTTTGCCATCATTCCTCAAGAAATCCGGTCGGCTGAATTCAATTCCGACGGCACATGCCTCCACGTGCAATCCTTCGAGAGACGCTGTATTTCAGTGATGCGGTTTGAGACGAAAACCTTCCAGACATTCGACTGTGACTTGATACAATGTAGAACGATCGTAGAGTCCACCCAGAATGTTGGAGGTTCCACGAATTCGGTGTTTCGACGTAGATTGTCGACAAGCTGGCTACCGAGCAGCGCAGCGCAGAGTTCCAGTCGAGGAATAGACTGTCCACGCAGTGGAGCAACGCGTGATTTGGCAGTCAGTACATGGCTGTGGAGCTGTCCGGAATCGTCACGAGAGACGACGTAGATGCAACAGCCGTATGCTGTTTTCGAAGCATCGCAGAAGCAGTGTAAGCTGTATTGGCGACTCTGCATGGCTCTGCGTGGCACGGAGAGAGCTTGTAGTTGGCTGAGCTCCGAGCGGTAGACTGCCCACCAGGCGGCGTATTCTTCGGACAGCCCTTCATCCCAGTCCAAGTGTTCTGCCCACAGAACTTGGACAAACATCTTGGCTTTAATCACCACTGGTCCCAGGAGGCCTAGAGGATCGAATAGCTGTGACATTTCGGACACGACGAGGCGTTTTGTTGCGGCGTTCAGCGGTGGCAGAGCTGGTATTTTAAATTTGAATGTGTCCGATTGTGGAAACCAGAGAAGTCCCAAGGTCTTCACAGTAGGAGAGCGATCGATTTCAAGCTCTCGCGAGGTTTCCCACAGCTGACGAGGAATGCTTGCAAGGACGGCGGCATCGTTGGTCGCCCACTTCCTGAGCACGAGGCCGGCTTGCTGCAGCATCTCCATCAACTGACGACAAGTTTCAGCGAGCGTATCTAGGTCGTCGTGGCCGGTGAGTACGTCGTCGACGTACGTTCCTTTCTTGATCACGGGGACCGCCAACGGAAAGCGTTCTCCTTCGTCAGTGGCCAACTGGTAGAGCACACGAGTAGCATGGAAAGGCGAGCTAGCGAGACCATAAGTCACGGTTTTTAGTTGATACACGCGCACTGATTCTGACGGATCTTTCCTAAACAGGATCTCCTGATATTTCCGGTCATCTGGATGTGTCCAAATCTGCCGGAACATCTTCTCGGCGTCAGCAGTGACGGCGAAGCGAGGCATGCGGATGTTGATAACGGTTGAGTACAGAGCTGGCTGTATTGTCGGACCGGACAATAGGACCTCGTTGATCGATAAGCCACGAGAACCTCGGCAGGATCCGTCGAACACTACTCGTATCTTCGTGGTTGTACCACAAACGAAGTGACAGACGGAGCGGCTCGAAAACTTTGGTGACTAACCTGCTATTGCAATTTTTCAGTGTACCACACGGCAACACCACTACTACTGGATTGTACCACATGGCAACACTACTACTGGATTGAACTAGCATTTTCACCAAATGTACTAGAATGTTTTGGTTCTATCTCTTTCACTCTACTCAAAACTTAAATGCATAAAAAAAATGACAAAATAATACGCACTCTTTGCACACTGTCAAAGAATCATTGTACACAAAATCAACTTTGTGCAAAACCAAAGCAAAAATACTATCCCATCTGGTGGCTGATGGCACAAACTTCTAAGAAAATTCTATTACAGCGAACCACATTATTTTAATTGATTTCTTCGCCAGTTAGTCGTCTGTCACTTCGTTTGTGGTTGTACTCTCAGGACGGTGGATGGCATGGTGGGGTAGGAAAAACTGAGGGCTACGCGACGCGGACGGATTCACCTCCTCCATATGTCCCAGTCTTTCATATTCCTCCATGAACGCGTGGTACGCTTCACGAAGGCCTTCATCGACAGCAAACTTTTTCTCCATGGATTGGAGCCGACGTAGTGCGAGTGGGTAGGAATCTCCAAGCATTGGTAGCATTTCCTCCCGTAGAGGTAGACGGACGATGTATCTGCCGTCTTCAGCTCGACTGACGGATTGTTGGAAGTGGTCTTCACAACGCTGCTCATCGGGAGTGTAGGCTTTCCCGACGTCAAAATTTTCAACTTCCCAGAACCGTTCGAGCTGCTTGTCGAGTGTGTCGTTCATGCAGACATGACTACTCTGAACTGCCTGTGGATCGGGAGCTGGATCCACTACCTTTCCGCAGACGATGTAACCCAGAACTGTCTTTTGTAGTAGCGGATACCCAGTAGCGACAGAGATTTGCTGATGTTCCAGGAGCGAATAGAACAATTCAGCGCCGATGATCATATCAATCTTCTGGCTGATGTTAAACTGGGGATCAGTCAGCGGAAGATTACGAGGAATCCTCCATCGTGTAACATCGATATGGTGGCTGGGTAGCGATATGGTAAGCTTCGGCAGCACTAGGCAGTCCAGACTGAAGCGATGATCTCCGTAGCGTGAAGCGAGCGAGATTGTAACTCCGAAGTGGACGTTCACAGTGGATTGATCAATTCCACTGACCGGCGAGTTGAGCTTGACACGCTTCAAACGGAGTTTCTGGCATAGTGATTCGGTGATAAAGCTGGGCTGTGAGCCACTATCCAGCAAGGCTCTGGCGAAATGTTCGTTGTTGTCAGCGTCCTTCACCTTGATCACTACTGTGGAGAGCACAACAGTACATTGACGAAAAACTTGAGTCACTTCAGCACCTTGACAGGACGTGGAGGAAGGTGAATGATTACCGAGAACGATTGAATCAACCCGCGATGTGGAGGGGGCGATACCAACCGAAAACGATTGCGGAAACGATCGAGACGACAAGTTCGCGAGTGGTGAGGTAACGGCTTGTACCGGCGGCGGAAATACAACGGCGTTCGCATCGCGTTGCGACATTTGATACGAATGCGAACCGATTGCTTCATCGGATTGACCAATCAATGCTGGTGTAGATTGGTTGGTCTGCGCTGCAGGTGTACCAGGAGCCGATGATGACAAAATTGGCGGTGAATGCAGCAACGAATGATGCTTCTTGGAGCAATACTTGCACGATCCACTGGAGCAATCCTTTGCCATGTGTGTACCCTTCAAGCAATTTATACAAAGCCCATGCTTCTTTACAAATTCAAATCGTTGTTGCGGTACGAGATTCTGGAAGGCGGTACACTGAAACAGGAGATGCGCTTGTTTACAGTTGGGTCCCAGCACATGTTAACATAGCTGGTAATGAAAAGGCAGACTCATTAGCAAAAGAAAGTTCATCTCAAAAAAGTCCAGCAGACATCAAAACTCCGTTTGAAGATTTCAAACGTCTGGTAAACACAAAAATAATGTCTAAATGGTATTCTATCTGGCACTGCAGCACAAGTAAACTTAGACGCATAAAAAATACACCCTCCGAATGGACTTCAACATACACTAATGACAGACACATCAACCGTGTTATCACAATGTTGAGAATCTGGCATACCAGAATAACACACGGTCACTTCGCAAAAAAAGAACCCCCTGCTCTGTGCTCCTCCTGCGGCACAGGAATTACTGTAGAACACATTTTGATTGACTGTCGATTGTACGACAAAGAAAGGAAAAAACACCAACTTGGTTCATCGATGTTTGAAATACTGGGTGACGACGTAAACACGCTACATAGAACCGTCGATTTCCTGAAAGAGACAAAATTGCATACGTTGATTTAAAACTCACCATAGAGCCAATTATGCAAGCAAGCATTTTTGCATCATACAGAAATAAAGCCGACCCACCCAATGTCAGCGTAATTACCTATTTAAAAGCAACACAAAACCGTATACCGACATCAGTCAAACCAGTCAACAGAGCAAAAGTAGTAGCTACAATGGGAAACGACGACTCGAAACAGGCAACACAGAGCGGTGATCAGGGCATCACCATCATCGAAAATCAAGAGCTACACAGCGGCATTCTCGCGGACCACGATACAAAACTATTCATCATCATCATTATGGTTGGGATGCAACTTTGCATCACCATAGGAAAAGCAATAAAGAAACTACAAGCTATAAAAGCGGCCAGGGCAGCGGCAACCATCAACCCCGCAGGAATCAACCCCGGAAGGAGGATAAAATAACCCACAATAAGAAACAGGCATTCAAATCATATATCCTACCTAGATTAAGCACAACATAAAACTCTGTAATACTTTGACCTGAATGACCAATTGGTTAAAAGGTCTTTAAATAAAACAAGCAAACAAACAAACAAACCCTCCACAAGGTGTTGATTGAGGTTTCTCGTGAGAGTCCCTCGACGAAATTGCGTTAACAACCGCGTTTTGTTGCTTTGATTAATTGTTTCAGCTTTGTCTCAAGCTTGAATATTCCTCGAAGTATGTGGAGGTTTTGTGTCTACGAAAAGCTTTGAAAGCATCATATTTTTCTACATTCTTCGTCCCATTGTGTGTAGCACAATAATCATATCTTCAACCTCGTTCGACGAATTATCCACAGACAAACAGACATAACTCATTGAATATTTCTCACTGTAAAACATCGTCGCTAAAACATTACCGCCATCTGTTGAGTACACTGTGGTGGGCACTACGCTGAACAGATGGCGGTAGTGTGTAGAGGCCATGAAACAGTCAATTGTTTAAGATATGATTCTAATGTTGGAAACAAGGCAGAAACTAAGCTTCTAAGAAGGTCTTGTATGCTAAACATATTTAAAATGAATTCCACAATGTCCGAAAAAGCTAGTAAACCTCGTTCGGACTTGGATTTCTTTTGAGAAGTTTGAGGAGCAGATTTTTTCTTTTTCTTATCTTTTTTGGCCAATGGTGGAAAATTCCTGCTGCATCCAGGGATTGGTTCAGCAGGAGCCTCGGTTTCGTTTTTTCATCCCTTTTACCCTGGGAATTTGTATTTGCATTTTTTACGGCGCACTTTCGGGGAGGGGCATTTTCTTTTTGAGGATCCGTCTATTTTTGAATGTGCGTGTACCACCTTAGTATCACCTTCATCGGATGAGTCAGAGTCCGATTCTTCAGCTGACAAAATCGAAAATTGGTTTGCATCTTGGACTGCTGATGCAGCCTTCACCATTTGAGCATATGTCTGCTTGGAGCGTCCTGAGATTGAACGCTGCACTTTATCGGAGTGCTGTTTGCACATCGGGCACTCCTGCAAGGGGTGAGGATTCTTGCCTCAGTAAGTGCATTTTACTGATTCTTTGTGGCAAGAATCCTCTTTGTGGTTTTCACCACATTTGCCACAACGAGTTTTGTTGCCGCAATGGCTAGGCGAGTGTCCCAGCCTTTTGCAGTTGGTACAATTATAAACTCTCTGTACAAATAACCCCACTGGAAAAAAGCACCACCAACTTTGACAAAGTTTGGGAGAACTGAACCAGCAAAAGTCACCCGAAAATAGTCGGAATGCTGATAAACTTTTTTGCCATCTTGTAAAGACACTGAATGCAGTTGTCTAACATCCAGTACCTTTACAAGCTCGCTTGAAACTTTTCTGTTTTTAAAACAACCCGAGGCACGTTTCAAGTCCTCGACAGACAGACTCGCGTCGGAGACCACGCTTTCTATCTCCACATCTCGAGAAGGGATGTAGATGTTGTTCTCTACACTAAACAACTCGTGATCAGCAATTTTATTTGCTACTTCATAATTCGGAGCTTCTACAGGCAGTTGGTTGAATCTCTCTTATGTATCAAGATTCCCGGATACTTACGCAGCAAGTCTCTCGAAATGTCGAGAGTTTTCAAAGGTTTATTTTTAGGCCGAAAAAAGACAACCTATGGTCCTTTCGAAAGTGGTTGGTAATACCTGGTTCGCGCAACGTTGGCATGTCGTAAGTGTTGCGCAAAAGCGGTGCGCAACCGCTTAAGAAGGATAAAAATAAATAAAAACCTTCACCTTCAAGAGCATGTGAGTTGACCAGAATAAGCGTGTAGGTCAAAACAAAAACGATAAAGTTGAATGTTGTGGACTGGACTGTGGAGAGTGTTTATGGTTCAATTTGCTTTGATGCATTTTCAAAAAGTTGGAAGGGTTGTATACTAGATACGACCGCAGGGTTGGCGTTGGATAACGTCTGTTATGTGTTGTACTTAATTGTGTATATTATATTTTGGGGATATTCCTTAATAACTCTTTTGCGAAAGTTTGGTGGCCCTGAAAAGGGCCGTTTTGTTGGGCTGATGTTGTTGACAATGATGGAACGGGCGA